CTGTTGCATACCATGACGGCACTCTTCTTAACGTTGGGAGACAATCTCCACTTACCAGAAAAATCCTTCGCTGTGTCAATCTGCAGTTGAAGTTCCTCAGAGGTATCGGACATCCCAACAAAATCATCCACAAACAGCATTTCCGACGCCCAAGTTTCTCCTTTCTACTCCCTTCCCAACTGCGACATTCAACAGATCGTTGATGAAAACCTGGAACAATGTTGTGGACAAGGTGCAACCTTATGAGACCTCGTGTTCACTGTTGAAGAAGTTGACAGGTCTCCGTCTAGCATGATAGCGCCTTTGTCATTTTCTTCAGCACTCTCCACATATATTTCCCCTTTATCCCATACTTGGACAATTGTTTCCACAGCCCATTTCTCCGTACGGTATCGTATGCCTTTTGCACGTCCAAGAAGAAGCAGTACGTCGGCTTTCCCGCCCTCTTTCTACCCTGGATGTTCTCCCTATCGTAAATGCGTGGTCTACGCACCCCCTCTTCTTCAGGGAACTTGCCTGGCCCTCACTTATCCTGCCTTCTTTTTCCAATACTCCAACTATCCTATCGTTCAGCAGCTTACAGAACACGTTTCCTACTGCGTTCAACAGTGTGATCCCCCTGTAGTTTCCTGGGTCAGTCTTGTCTCATTTCTTTAAACAAGTTCACAACTACTCCTTCCCTCCATCTACTTGGCGCATACTCGTTTTTCCATACACAGTTGTACAACAGCACCATCAACTGGACCATCCCTTTCCCCCACACTTAATGAACCCGTCCACTATCCCATTCGCCCCTGCTGCTCTGTGGCACTGCAGCTTGTTCACACAACTCTCACATCGTCCTCAGTGAATTCCTTCTCGAGCTCTACGTTCCCAACGTTTGCCTTTGGTGTCTCGTCTACTTCCTGGGCCCATGCGTCCACCTCCTTCTTAAACACTAGGTCAAAAGCGTCATTCTCCGACGGCACTCCAATTCACTTGTAGTGTCCTGCTAGAAATTCCTTTCCCTTCCCATTGCTGACAAGTCCACCGTTCACACCTCGCAGAGTTGCTACCCCTGTATTCCCCCCCGGCGCGGTCGTTTTTACAACCCCACTAATCCCTGGCCACATCTGCTTGACGTTCCCCTCCAGGCCTCCGATGGACTTCTGCACTACTTCGTTTCCAGATGCGTTTTTCTTCTTTTTCACGAGCTAACCTCCTCATCTGTTTTCTCTTGACCCTGTACTTTCCCAACTCCCCTCAGACTCCTCACTCAGGTATTGACTCCTCTGTGATCCTCTTTTTCTTCTCTCAGCTCGTCATCCCACCACTTGAACGATACCCCACGTTGCACCATATTACTCTCTGCCGTTGTGTCCACTATGGCCTCCCACTCTGCAATCTTCCCTGTCCTCTGCTGCTTCTACATCTACATTTCCGTCTCCAACGCTTCTCAGCAATTTCCTGAGGTTGTTCTACTCCACCAGTCAGTCCCTTCTGGAATTCACCACGTGTCCCCTTGTCTCCCAAATGCTCTACTTCGATCGGAACGCTTTCCAGGATGGGGCTTGAACGTCGGTAGGATACAGCACCTGGCTGACTGGATCCTCCATCAAGGTTACGAGCAACAGCCGCAAAATCTGAAATACTAAACTGGGAAGAAATCCACACGGTCATGCTAGCCGCAAGGAGAGACAACATAAACCTTCCTTTGAACGAACATGATGGCAACAAACGTTATCGGCGAACAAAGACAACTAAACACTTTTACACGCTTCGAGGCTCCTGTTGGTGAGTTTCAAGGCGCCTCTTGCCTATCCTACAGCCCTCCCTGGTATGACACCTGAACACTAAATATAACAGGCCCGGTGTATGACGGCCGGTGTAGCACGGAGTCACACACCTAAATACGAAGGGACTACAGCTTACCTCTTTCGGTATCTCGCCGGATTTCTTCTCTAGGCGGGCGAGCTCGCGCTGCTCTTTCCGGCACTGCTCTTGGAATATCCGCCACTTGATGCCTGGTTGCCCCACCTCGACGCGATACACCGCTCGATTTCGTTCGCGAATCTTTGCGGGGAAGGGTGTTTTCGAACGCAACATATGTGAGGCAAAGGCGGCACCAGGGTTATGGGGCGTATGACTATATTCGCCCAATTGGGACAAACAACGTACACGCGCACCCTGCAGACACCTTCTATGTAGCATCGCCGGGCTATTGTCATGGCCGAGGGTCAACGAATTTCACCCCGTGATCTTGCTTTGACTGGCAGAAGCAGCATGGCTAGGATGGAGGAGGACGGGTGAGGACTTCTTTCGTCATCACGCACGCTACCCCAAGCCCAGGACTTCTTTTTCCACAGGATCGACGAGTGTTAGACCCAAATCAGATGATGATCGTCAGCGTCAGGTTGCTCTGCACCTGGACAATCTTCTAGTGATGGCTGTTAGTAGTGCACCCCGGCGCCTTCCCGCAAGAGGCCAAGTATGGGGACTATGTTATCCCAGGACCGAACGACGATGACAGAAAGCCACAGCGCACTCCCTCCAGTAAACAAACAGAAAAAAGAAAAGAATCACTTTGAACACATGCTCTTCCTCGAGGGGCCCCGCACTTGAACCCCCAACATCATACCCCCACACACATAATATTTCCCAGGCCGGATGTCGTACGCAAGTACCACGAAAAGGCCGTCGCCTCTCAGTCGGCCTTATTATGCGCTTCGATCAAATTCCCGTGACGCTGAGCAAACGTGTTCCTCTCAAATTGTTCCCCGGCCTCACAATGACGAAGCATCGTAATTTTTACCCTAGAATGGAGATTTATTTGCAGTCTCGTCGGAACACCCGCCGTATTGCGCGGCATCAGCAGCCACAGCGTCGCGTGTGTTTAATACGCAAAGGAGCCGATACAGGGTCGGTAGATTTCGTTGTACGCTTTGCTGGGAACCATTTTTTCCGCCAAGGGCACGCCTCAAAAGGTTGTTCGAACTCAACGACGTTCCTGATATATTGGTTCTTCAGCAATTGAATTTCAGCTAAATATACCATTGCGACGGCGGGGCTCGCACAAGCTCCGATGGCAGCATCAACTAGTAGATTAGATGCACTTTGGTTTCGCGGCGTTGATGAAACGAGGAATTTTGACCCAATTACGGCACGTAAGATCGATGCATTTGCCGCTGCTCTACGTAGGGATTTTCTCAAGGATTCACCCACAAAGCAAGCATCACAAAACTTTCTGCTGGTCTCCGACAACCAGCGGTTGCAGCACAACTCGCACGCGACCATATCCCATGCATCGCGGGCGAGCTTTTGAAAAGTGAGTCATCCGCGATGGACCAGAGGTAGATTTGAAACCGCGACAATCTTCGGCTGATGCGAACGAGGCCTGTCTCGTACCATGCTTTCGTGACAACACTACGTTTTAAAAAGTAGGCGCGGTCGTAAATTTAGTGTCTAAAATCCAACGATACTAGACTATACTCTGTAGTACTGGATAATTGCCGCTCATGTAAAAATTCGCCTACTATCGCAGCTTTCGACCGGAAAGAAAAATCGGGTGGTCCCTCGATTCGAGAAAGATAGCCCTTAGAGAATGGATTGAAGTGGGGCTTCTAGCACACAGATACACATCCGAAAGGAAGGGTTTACAGTAGTCTCAAGGCTGTCCTTCTCGCTGTCCTCTCTTTCCCTCTCTCGAAGTCAGTAGTTGTCTCTTTGAATATCTCGGCGTCACTCCACTCTCTCCGCTCTTTGTCGCACAACAATTGGAGGATAGCTGAATTTCTGCTGAACGAACCGCACTACAAACGGGATGGAGGAATCCTAGTGGGGCAGCTTAGCCTACGCAAGGCCATCTGCATGTGTATGTACGAGTAGAGAGTTCGGATGGCGAGCGGGACAACCAACAGCGAGCGCGTTCAAAATTAGGCCGAGCGGTCCACCATGGGCGCATCCTGTGTGCACTGAGCGTATTTTTCTCTGTAGTGGACACAATATTGGAGATAAACAGGAAGAGCTGTACAAAGTATTTGAACCTGAAACCTCCCTTCTTACTCGGGAAGCTATCGCCTACAGATATTACAGCGGTAGCTCCCATGGACCCAAGGCTGCGAACCCAAGACCGCATGTGCGGCTCAATTTCTTGCTGCGGATAGGTGGTCCTTACCTCAGCCGGTGACATGTTGGCGATCTCATCCCGCCAATTAGGCATTTTTCCTCCGCAGTATGAGTTGCACTTCCGAGCGCGCTTTCAGTGGGCCTCTCTCCCCGGTTCCCGTGCCTCCTTCCTGCTGCCTGCAGAATGGACATGGAATGGACACGCGATTGGGCGCGGCATGACGAAAGGCGGTGGAACTGTATTTTGTTCCTGTTCGGCCGTTGAACAGGAACGACTGCTACTACCGCTGAACTGACGCGTTTACAGCCGCAGCGAGTGTGTCATTCCTCGTAGAGTCAACTACTGTAAATCCCGTCTCCAACTGGCGTCTTTCAACCCCAATAGTAAACACTTTGCTTTTAGCCAGTGGCATTTCATCTCACTCCAACACAGGAAGGGTTACCAACCGCAAACCATAGGAGTTCCAAGGCGTATGAATCTCACGTACCACAGCTGTAGGACCAATCCGGTCTAGTAGCTGATGATGTGGCTGCCGCATATCTTTGTCCTTTAGTCGCGAGCGCATGACATTCCAGACGTATCGTTCGCACACTCAAGTCGGTACGCATTCTGGGGCGCACACTAAACAGTGCAGCATACAGGGTTGAACCAACATTCCCTGATCCCACACGTACGTGTGGTCAAGGTACCCCAAGAGAGGTGAAGGCGTTTGTAAGATAAAGTTACACCATTAGACAAGTGGCTGACTAGTCAAATGGTGTAACTTTATTTTTACAGCGTTGACTACGCATCGGCAAGAGGCACATCCTCGTTCTCTCCGCGAGATAGATTTTGTTCTTCTCTTTTTCCAGACGTTCATACACGTACAAGTAGACAGATCGGTTTGTGTACCTCGGACGTACCATCTCCGCGGACGGGAAGGCCGACCGGGAGATCACGAGCCCCAGCTGCCGAGCGTGGAAGTGCTACCGCCGGAACAGTGCTTCGATGTACGACGGGCGACGGGCCAACCGCCAGCTCAAGATCCGGCTACTCCAGGCTGAAGTGGTGGAGACTCTCCTGTATGGGTGCGCCTCGTGGAGCCCAACAGCGGAGCACTACACAAAGCTCAATGAGACCCACCGCCAGTTCCTTACACGGTGCATCGGCTGGAGCAAGCGGAAACGCTCAGACCGCCCCCTGTCCTATGCCCAGGCCCTCATCCAGGCAGGCTGCGAGGAAACCATCGAGGCCACCGTGCGCAAACGGAGACTGTGTTTCGCGGGCTTTGTTATGCGCATGGAGGACAGCCGCCTCCCCAAGCGCATGCTGTTAGGAGCGATGGCGGGGGGCGTGGGATACCGGGGCGGGCAGGAGNGGACGGGGCGGCATGGTTCATGAGGAAATGGCACAGGCAGGAGGCGGAAGCGTCCGCGAAGCGCCAGCGCGCGAGGAAAGCAGAAGCAGAGAGTACGACCATCTCAGGACCGAAGAGAAAGGGACCCGGGGAAGCGGCGGTGGGGGGGAAGAAACGGCGGCTGGGCACTGCTGTAGAAGCGAGTAGGGCGGCCGAGGCAGCACTTGTGGCGAACTATGTACCCGGTCGATGTTGTTGCGCCCTGTTACCCTCCCTGCTGTATGCTATACTCCTTTATGTATGTCCTTTGTATTGCCTTCGGCCTCTGTGCTGTGTTTTTTTTTTCATGACCTCCCTGCCTTCTCTGCTGTGTTGGGTACCTTGATCTCGCTTTGCTGTTGCCTTTGTTTTTTGTACGTCTGGCTGTCTGCCCATCTGCCGCCTCTTTGCCCTGTTTGCTCCGTTACTCCCATGCCCTGGTGCGTGGTGCCTGGTGCTGGTACGTTACCCTTTGATTTTTCTTGTAGGCGGGTGTGTGAAGCGTCCTCCTTTATTTTTGTTTTGTTTTATTTTGATCGGTTTCCTAGGGCTCTTTTCTCGAACGGTCGGTGCGATACCTGTTATTTCTTTCTGTCATTTTTGTTTTCTTTTTCCGAGTGGTTTGTACCCTATTTTTGTTCTTTCGTTTTCCCGCGGCGTCGTATGTGCTTCTATCATTTTTGTTTTCTTTTTCCGAGTGGTTTGTACCCTATTTTTGTTCTTTCGTTTTCCCGCGGCGTCGTATGTGCTTCTATCATTTTTGTTTTCTTTTTCCGAGTGGTTTGTACCCTATTTTTGTTCTTTCGTTTTCCCGCGGCGTCGTATGTGCTTCTATCATTTTTGTTTTCTTTTTCCGAGTGGTTTGTACCCTATTTTTGTTCTTTCGTTTTCCCGCGGCGTCGTATGTGCTTCTATCATTTTTGTTTTCTTTTTCCGAGTGGTTTGTACCCTATTTTTGTTCTTTCGTTTTCCCGCGGCGTCGTATGTGCTTCTATCATTTTTGTTTTCTTTTTCCGAGTGGTTTGTACCCTATTTTTGTTCTTTTGTTTTCCCGCGGCGTCGTATGTGCCGGGTTTTGAGACCACGGGCTCCCCATTTCTTGTGGACTATAGAGCTAATGTGAGAAAAATCAACAACAACATGCTCGTCTTGGCAGTCTTTCGTTGTAACGCCATCGCGAACTTACCTCGACTCCACTTTACCTCCGTGCACTCCTCGCTCTGTAAGGGACTTAGGAGCGTCCCACGAGTTCTCATGGCGTTGCTCCCAGCGATCGTTTGTATTGTAAGCCATTAGCTTTGCCGCCGTTCAGTATTCTGTCACTCTGGTAGCCACCACATCCCAACCTTGTCTTTGTAGACTAGAGCACGTATCTGCCCGAAAACAAACGCTTGATAAACGTCAAAATGCCAGCAACGGTGGCTGGCCGCGACGAGTCAAAGACAAAATCACTGCTTCTATCAAGTACTCGAAGTAAATCGACAAGAGCAACAGCTAACACCAGCATGACATATCAGAGCAAAAAACCCTTTTTACCGGTACTAAGTGTTAGAGTCAGCGGTGCTTCCCCCCGTGTCGAGCTCATGTCTAATCTACAGCACGTTCCTTTCTAAATCCACAAATCCCTCTTTGCTAGGAACCGCCCTCTCTACGACTCCTTCTCCACTCGTCCTACCGTAAGCTCGAGCGGTATTAAAAGTACCACCAGCAGTCCCAAAACTCCCAGAAGAGCAAGAAGTCCGAGTGTTCTAGTTTTCATCTTTCCAACAGCCGCCGAAACAAACGTGCGGTCGTTCAAGGCCTATTGAATACTGGAACTATAAGTTCTATCCTAATAACATGCCAAAATCATCACCCTATTTCTCCTTTGAAGTATTGCTCGGATCGTCTCATCGAAATCTCCCCATGAACGAAAATCAGTCGAATTTTCCCTCGTAGACGCGGAAGCTCCTGGCGATCTCCTGCAGCTGCGGCTTGACCGTCTTTGCGCGGTTTGCCGTCGTCGCCCCCACCACCGCGTTCACGTTGTTGCCGATCTGTCAATGCGGCAATCGATCGGGCGCAAAGCGCGAGCATGTACACATTTATTCGCTGTGTGTTTTTTTACTATTAGCATCGACCGCACTAACCGGCTGACCAATGAAAAGACGTCAGTGTTAGTACGGTTGTTTTGTTGTTTTTTCTTATAAGCATCGACCGCGCTAACCGACTGACCAACGAAAAGACGCCAGTCTCCGTGCAGGGGGAAACACAATATGCTTCGAAAGGCCATGATCTGGGACCCTGTGAGAGGGTGTCATGGGGAAGTCTATGCTGCTCTCCGGATCAAAGGCAGGTAACGTGGCAATAACAGCAGTGCGTGCGTGTGTTTGTCCCATCCATTCCGGCGCAAGTCTACAGGCCTTTTGGGGTGTATGTATCTGACGTATCAGTCCGGGCCATACTTTAGGCTAATCCACGCTCAAATATACCTAGTATCCGGCCAGTTGTTATCCCAATGACTGTCAAGACTCCCGCTCGAGTAGTTTCGAACCGGTAGTATTGCTTGTTTGTAGTTTTCTCTTAAGCGGCAGCACAGGGTGCACACCTTCAGTTGCCTGGGTTCGAGTGGGGTTGGTTGGCTTGGGAGGTGTTTTCGGATCATCAGCGCCAAAATCAACCAAAAATCAAGCAAGCACCGCACCCGGGCAAATGCTATTTAGTTAAAAGAGTTGTGTAGTGATCAATGATAAGACGAGCGTGTTTTCGTGGCGACGCTGTTAAGCTGTCGCGCGTTTTTCCAACACGATAGAGATGTACAGAGTGGAGAGATTACGCTGTAAAAGTAAGTCCTTGTCTAGGCTCGTCCATGTCTACCATGCCGAAGGCGACCACGACAGCAGCAACAACAACAGCAAATTCACATGGCAGGCCGTGTGCGATGACTCATGCACGCCGATGAACGTCCGCCAAAACAACAACCACAGCGACAACAACAGGGGCACGCGAAGGGCTGGAGAAAACGTAACCGAGCCGTCGTTCAAGCCGCGATCTAGGTCGGTGAATTTCAAGCCGGAACAAGTATCGTCAACAACGACACGGTACGTCAGTTCCAAAAGCACCTGAGTAACGGATGCCACCCCCTTCCTTTCCACGGTGAAGCCAGCTCCCGTGAGCAGCTCATACTGGAAGTCCGCAATGAAGTACTTGTTTCCGATGAAGCTGCTCCCAGTATTTGAAAGGCAAGCGAAGGGTCAAAGCACGTGCGGCCGGGAGGGGGCTGGGATGAGGGGGTGGTTGATAGATAAGAAATGACTGTTACGGACGGGAAAAACATGGCGTCGTAGACTTGATATGAATGTGGGGGCAATAAGGTAGATACGCCAAGGACAAACCAAGGGTCCACGGTATGGATAAACCAAGGGTCCACTGTATCGTAAGCGGCATACTTTATTACCCCCCTTCCCCCCCGGTGTTTACCATCGGGGTTGGGTTTTCGTCGCTTGGCAACGACGTTGTAAAACAAGCCGCCCCACCCGGTTTTGCCATCGGGATTGGGTTTTCGTCTCTTGGCAAAGACGTTGTAAAACAAGCCAATTCACTTCGTGAACTCGGCAACCAGGTTACCGTTTTTTTTTTTACCTCCGGTTTTTTTTTTTGGCGGTAACCATAATGGTGGTCGAGTAGATCATGTTGTGCGGGGTGGAGAACACTCGCTCCGCGCAAGGGGGATGATCGCACCACGTTGTGTTGAAATGGTCAAGCACCCTCGAGGCAGTTACACAGTGCTTACAACTGTCTCTGGAAGTGAAAGCACCAGAAAGTAAATTAATTCATACGCAGCTGTCATCCGTACGCAAGGAAGTAAGCA